CTCAGTTTGCAGTTTGTTTTATCGCCCAACTGACCTCACATAGGCATGCTTTTACTCTCATTTTTGCAAGGCTCTTGCCGAGTTCCATCAACAGAGCTCCTATCAAAAACCTCTAAAAACCTGGTGTCAAGCTACTAACCCATACGTCATTTACATCAATTTTCTCAGAATCATCTGTACTAAGACTAACCTTTAAAACTACCTGTTGGGCTTTGTTCCATTAAGACCATTTCTAAACCTTTGGTAATGTTACTCGATGATCCCTCTCGCAGCACAGATGTTGCCCAGCACAACTGCAAGGCCACCAGCTGCACACCATGACCAGCAGGATTCATTTGCCTGTGAAAAGCAAGGAGGAGGAGTTGAGTAGAGTAACTGCTCTGCAATGCTCACACGCTCGTCCAAAATAAGCAACTCTGATTCGGTAACTATTATTCTGCTCTGGAAGTGATTATTTTATTCTAGGATAATTACTCCATTTCCAAAGTGAAATAATTGTTACCGAGTAAAATCATTTTTATTTTGGAATATTTCATCCACATGTGGGAGTTACTCTGGAACAACTAAATTATACCCTAATAGCTAGAAGAGAACAGTCCTGCCAGTCAATTTTTCCAATGCAGGCAACTCCTTAAACCCTAATTCCACTAGAAGGCTTAGAACAGAAGGTCTCATCACAAAACCTGAGATGCCAATCACTCCATTTGAAGCAGAATCCACATTAATTTATGAGAATAACAGCTTTTAGCTCTCGTAAGTACAGAAGTCACTGAAGGAAATAAAAGTCCATCAAGGGATTTCCAAAGCACATTACAAGTATTACCGCTTACAGACAAAACTCAGTACAAGATACACAAATAGCACTGGTGCTGTTGAATGCTTTCTTCTCTGCATACACACAGTTACAAATTGCTTTTGAAGTCTAAGCCTGAATAAACCCAAACCAACTCATCCTGCAGAGGTAAATGTTGGTAGCAGTATGCTGTACCAGCGCTTGACTTTTGGAAGAACTGGGGACATGCCTTGGACTATGCATCCATTACTTGTTCTAGATAATTGGCTTAGCTGATGAGACAATTTAAAACCCCTTACCGGAATACGCATACATTCAGAATCTCTTTTGACTTTGCCCAGTGTTTTCTAATACAAACTACTCTTAGGAAACTAAGAAGGGAGTTCAGTACTAGCACCATTTTTGCACTGCAAAATTTTATAATTGGCCATTAAAGCAGGCAAAGAAGCCACAAAGCTCAAAAGTTTAGGTTCCCACAGCAACAGTAATTCAGCTGCATTTAAAATATATAGCAGAGCATAAATTAACAGTTATTGAAAATGCTGCATATGTGCAATGTGGCCATGTTAACATTGCTATGGGAACCTTAACTTCTGAATAGATAAGCATTCTACAAAAATAAAAACCATATAAGAGAAATAATCATTACAGATTTTGCTGGAAAAGACTACAGCCAATTTCTCATCTGCAATCTGTTGATGCAGAGCATAAGGCCTCATAAAGCCTCAGAAGTCCAAGCAGGTGAAAAAATAATCACTAAAAACACTGAGTGTCAAGGCCATAACCATGGCTGACACTTAACTGCAGCTTCACTTTCAATTTGTGCTTATAATCAAACATTACGCAAAATTATTCCAGAAATCTCAACAGAGATAAGGAGCCCACGTACAACTATCACCCTCTCCTCTTTTTCTCTCATACTTCCGATACATTAAATATTTTGGAAGAACAGATGGTAAATTTGCTACTGACTTTAGTCTTTTTCCCCCCATCATGCTCAATTAAAAAATAATTTTTAAAAAGCAATCAAACCGTGCTCTAGTATATATTAATGTAGTAGCACCAAGCCCTGTCTTTCACATACTGTTCTAACACCAAAGTTTTTGTTTTAAAAAAGTTTGATTTCAGCAGATCTTTGGGGTTGGAATTTTTCATATTTTCATATGAATCCAGTAACAGCAGATCTGGTGGCTTACTTTCCAGTGGCATAGATGTTGTTTGGGAGTAGAACAACAGCATTCTGCTCCTGGTTCTGCCATTCCCTCAAAATCTCTATGCTGCATGATCTTGGGCAAGCCAAGCTCTCTTCCCTGCAGTTCTTTCATCTGTGAAAAAGGAATAATGACACCCATCTTTTCTATCCAAAGGTTCAATGCTTTAACCAAGTGCATTTTCTCAGCTGCTTAAAACAAAATGTTCAAAGTTTCCTTTCAGAATATTTGAACAAAATTCCAGCAGCATCTATAGCAGCTCTGCGAAGAATTCTCCCAATCTGTTAACTGCAGAAAGAGAAATGACATGAAGGCTTCTTTATTCCAACCCACCCTCATGCAGCTGTGGGGCATACGTGGTTAGTCCCATTCAAAATTCTACAAACCAGTTTCTTCCCCACAGTGATCACAGATTACCAAATACGCTTAACCAGCAAACAGAGCAAGTTCCAGAGCCCTGTACTGGCAAATGCAAGACAAACAGTGGTCTCCACATCAAGCCAAAGTGACAAGTTCTCCCTCTATATCCTGGCACACACGCTTGGAATTGCACTGACAAAAGAAGGATTTCCCAGTCATTGGAAAAGCAGGATACTGGCTCTGAAATGAGCCATACAGTTCAAAGAGATTTTAATCTCTATTATTAGAAGTGACCTTGATTTTTCCCATTCATAGTACAGACTTTATGAAGATTATATGGGCATATTGCTTGAGGATATTTTCTGTGTAACATTAAGATTTTACTCAGACCATAAACTTGCTTTTTCCTGGAGTGATTTAGGGAAAAAAAAACCAACAAGCTAACATGATAATATTGATCAGAATAGCGTCTTTTACAAAGACACAGATATACACTGAGAACAGTTAGCAACGTCCTACACCACTACATGGGAGTCAGACAGAAAATTTTGCCCACTACATGCACAAATGAGTTTTCTCACAGTGGACAGTCACTAAACTATTTTGCCAAAATGATGAGTTTATGCTTCTTCCTACATAAGGCACGGACATTATATGTTCTTAGTCTCCAGCCTCAAAGGCAGAGTACTGGAAGAAATGAAACTTATGGAGTCTGTGAAGCAAGAAGCTTAAGCAGCAGAATTTATTTTCAAACCCTACTTATGAGTTTGGCTGAGAAAGAGAAAGCATGGGTCTTACCTGAAACTCTTGCCATTTCAAGATATTTGCAAACATCTTTCAATGAAATAAAGTGCTCTGATAACCACTTGCTTTCTGCATTGTCATCTCTTATAAACGGTAGTCTACCCATATTTCAGCCAATATATCTATGACCTAAAGCACTAACACCACTCTTTCACTACAGCCAGAACCTTCACCATCCCTGCATGCCTTGACCCCAGCCCAGTATCACAGTCTGAGGGACCCTACTACTTGGACAGCACCGATTGCCACCCAGTTCTCTCTTACATGGGTGATCCCTGCATGCTCAGAAACTGCATTGTTGCATCTCTATTCTTTTCCTTCAGAGGCTATATGTGCTGTGGTTAAGTCTAGTGTGCTAGATCACTCAGTTCATGCACTGAGGAAAAAAAAGACTTCATATTTGCTACTGAAGCTGGCTATTTCAGTTACCCGTAAGTTATTTAAACAACCCTGAAGTTACTCTTATGTCATCAACAGATATTAAGTAAACTCTTTGAGGCATGAAAGCGATAAATTTTTGAACACTTCCCATCTCATACTTAACCCTAATATATTGGTGACATTCCTAGACTGAAAGTCTCACATTTAAGACAGACAAGAATTACTCCACACAGCAGTGGGAGTCACTGATGAAGGTGCCTCCATGCACTTTGTGTTTGCATAATACTCAACCACTTGTCACAATTTTATAACACTACCTTCTGATACCACATCCACTGATTCAGTGGTTTTTTTTCAGCCACTACCTGCTCTTCTTATCTCCACAATCACTTCATTCTCAGAGACAAATTCGGATACCAGAACATATAAAGCACTTTTCTCCCCCATCTGACATACTCTGGGAAGAGCAGATTAACAACACTCTCTTATTAGCATACAAGTTCCCTACTCATTTCAGCATCCAACGCTGGTATGACTTACATGTGGTTTAGGAAAAAAAAAAAAAGAAAAAAAAAGATTGCTTACCGCTAAAATCTGGAACAGATTTATTAATTTTGCACCAAGCTCTGTCCTACATACAGCACCGTGACTTTCTGTAAAAATGACTTCCTATCAGATCTTGCTACCTCAAATTTTCTCTTTTCAACCTATTCCTTGCTAAATGCAAGTTAAAAATGTCTTATGACTGTTTCAAGCTATTCTCCCTCTCAATGGCATAACACAGTAAAGGCAAGGTGCTGTTAGTGAGTCAGATTACATGTCCAAACATAGTGTTCTGTTGACTAGATGCAGATGGGATTGATTTTTAACTTGATAGCTTGTTTAAAACTTACATAATTCTGTATGCAAACCTTCTTGTTCAAGTTTTACTGAATACCCAAGTTCACCACATACCAAGTCACTCCAAATTCTGGACTCAAAGAATCATTGAGATATTCAGGACAACTTTGTTAACATTTGGTAACCAAATTGCTTCCTTCTCAAGCCCCAAAGAGATAAAGGGAAGGGAACACAAGAAATTCTCTGAAGACCCAAACAGTTACCCACAATCTGGCTGTTATATGATCTAAACCTAAAAAAAAAAAAAAAAAAAAACAAACCCAACAACTTACAAGTTGTACAGAAGCTAATGAAAGTTCTTCCTTGAATAATTATTTTTATGTAACTCGAAATGTTTTCTTCCATCTAAAGGTAATTCCACATTTCTTGTGATACTGTCCCAAGAACAAAATTATCTTCCCAACTTCCCTTACTATTGTGGTTGGTGTTTTTAACTGTGAATGGGTAATCAGGTAGTAGACACGAATAAACACGCTCAATTTAAAAGATTATGCACCATCACTGACCAGTCAGTCCTCATATCTGCTGCAAACCAAATAACAACAGAAGCATTTAATAAAATCTGTTTTTATTTTAAAATGAACTACACTTCAGACAGCTAGGCCTACAAACTTGTATCTGTTACACATGTACTTGACAAGAAAAGCACCGGAAAGGAACTTCAAATATGACCTCGCTCTCTGCATTAATACATTTTATCCCTTTTCTATTCCTATTGAAGGCCTCAAAATAGTTCATTTTTTCTTCTAAGATAGCCTAATCCCCCTCTGCATTAACAGTGCTTCTCAGCTTTTTGCTGTCATCCAATTTCATCATCACTGCCAGCTTTTTTCAGCATCAAAAATTACACACAGGATGCCAAATACAAATCCTCAAGGAATTTTGCTACTAGATCCCCAGTAAGGATTGCTTCTTCCTTCTCCATCACTGCTGCCCTCACAACTTCATTAAGCTTGGAAGTGCCAACAGTATCTTGGACTGCACCACAGAGGTAGCCTGCAAGGAGAGGAGATAACCGTCCACATCTACTCAGTCCTTGTGAAGCCCCATCTGGAGTACTGTGTCCAGGCCTGGGGCCTCCAGCATAGGAGGGATGTGGAGCTGTTGGAAGGGGCCCAGAGGAGGCTACAGAAATGATCAGAGGGTTCCAGCACCTCTCTTATGAAGACAGGCTGAGGGAACTGGGCTTCACAGAGAAGGCTCTGGGGTGTCCACATTGTGCCCTTCCATTACTTGAAGGAAGTTTAAAAACAGGAGGGAGCCTGATTTTTTACGGAGTCTGATAATGATAGAACAACAGAGAATGGTTTTAAATTAAAATGGGAGATATAGGCTAGATATTTATAGGAAACTCTTTACTGAGAAGGTGGTAAGGCACTGAAACAGGTTGTCCAGGGAAACTGCGGATTCCCTGTCTCTAGGTATATACAAGGAAGGGTTGGAGAAGGAGACTGTATCTAGGTGACCTTTAAGGTCTCTTCCAATATAAGAAACTCTCTGATTCTCATGTATCATGCAATATCTATTTCTTCTGGTTAACAGCAAGTTGTCTATGTGTACCATACTAAAACTTCTACTTTACTGCCTTTGGAGATAGCAGCAATGTTTTCCTCTTCATTCAATACGTTTACATATCCAGATAGCCACAGACCAATAGATCAATAGACTGAGTTGGTGGTTCCCCTGTAGTGGCCAACGGCTCATGTTCAGGAGCGGGGTCCTGCACAAATATCCCCTCAGATGAGATTGCAGGTCACTCTGCAAGCAAAAGAGGGTGACTGCTGTGAACTGGGTAGGCAGATGGGAAGGAGCATTACCAGGTGCAGCACCCAGCAAAACTCAACTCACTAGTAATAGCCACCACTTTCCTTCTCCTCTCATCAAATCCATCTTCCTCTTCTGTGGGGAAAGTCACCACAAAGCACAGCAGTCCTCAGTGTATAATTATTTCCCTCCTCCTCAAAAAAAAAAAAAAACAAACATAGCCGAAATCTGCAAAGTAGCAGTAACTCAAGTCTCATCCTTGAGACAGTATCAGCACCAGAAAAGGTTTTGTTAATAAACAACATAAAGCCAGACACTAGTAAACTGAAAACATGTAACCAACAAGCAGCAGATGCTGCCTGAACTGTCAGGAAAAAGGGGGCTGCTTTCAGCTAATGTGGGCACCAGGCAGGATCGAGCCCCAGGCTGCAATGTGAAAACAGTGAGACAGTTGCTTTTAATTTTTTACCCATTCTAATCCGCTTTATGGAAAACATTTTAAGGATTAGAATAGATGACATTGACCTAGCCATGAACTACAACAAGAGTAGATTACTCACTACAGTTATATTTTCACTGCCAATGTCATTTTCACAATCCTTTTATTTTATGAAATGTCTGAGAGTTCTTAACAAGCCAAAAAAGAATTTTCCACATCCACCCCATATAAATGACTGCTTATAATAAAGATAAGCAGTTTTACCTTGCGTAACTTTCCAGAAAATAAACAAATCTCTACTAGTTTTCAAAACGTTGTTGTTACAAAGTAAAACCAGAAAACTACTGGCCAAACACACAGAACAAAGACAGACCTACCCACCTTACAGAGATCTTTCCACGTGTTTGTTTAATACTTGGAATGTGGAGGCATTCCCTTCTGATCACGCTGAAGTAACACTCACCGACTCCAAGCAGGCGGCGTTGCCAAAAAGTCATTCTGAATCCGCCCAGTAGAGGGCAATGACACACACGTATAAAGAAAAAATTGAATTTAAAATGCGCGTTTGTAAAAACAAAACGAAGTGAAATAAAGTAAAATAAATGAAAAATACTTTATGACTATGTTTAATTATTTACGTCTAAGATATTTATCTTCACTGATATATAGATCCCTGTTCCCCACTTCAGTTAATGCCTCAAAGGATTTCAAAAATCCAAAATCATGTATTAAAAATCTTTTTCAAAAACATCAGAAACGGACCATTATGTATACAGCAATAGAATGGATCTTGTTTTACATTTGATTGTAGGATGGATGCCAGGAATGTCTTCGTCCCTCAGGCAACACATAAACTTGCTAAAAAGCCTCAGTTTTCTGTTTAAAATTGGTCCAGAAGGACACTGTTACAGCACTTTCTTCCTGCAGCACACCCATCTATTGCAAAGAACACTCACTCATAGCCATTAAGTACGGTATCATGTTTACATGGAAAGCTGTTGCTGCAATCCAACTGATTCTTTTACAATTCTTTATAGGCTTATTTTCCCAGTGACGCTTAGAAAGAATGCAAAGAGTCTTCAGGATTCTGCAGCACACCCTACTGACCTGTAGGTACAAAGTGAGATGGTCAGGGACTCGCTATGGCTGAGCCAGTCCTGCCAGCAACTCTGAGCCCTAATAGTGAGGCATGGCTGCAAGCAGCACCCCATGCCCCTACTTCTTCGAGGACAGGAAGAGTAAAGTTGAAGAAATAGACACAGTAGAAAAAGTGATGAGCACAATATAGACACTCCACACAAACTCTCACAAGAGGCTGTTCACAGCCAGTTTGTGACTGGCTTCAAATTCTGTCACTTGTGGTTATCTGGGCTTCACTGCAGAGCTTGGCATGACCTCAAGACAGGTTCCTAGGCATTCCAATTCCCAGCTGCATAAACGTAAAACGGAAAGGACACTGTGAAACATAGCCCCACCAACAGGCTTCAAATTGAGAAGCTGCTTACAAGTACTGGCATGGCTTCAGATTTTTTTATTTTTTATTTATTTATTTATTTATTTTTTTAATTTAAATCTAGGCAATGAATAGTTCTTGTCAACACACATCAACAACTTAACAGTTTTGTCCAGGGTATCCAGCTCACTTGACTGAACATAGTAGTCACTATGACAAGTGGGCAGGACTGAGAATTTGCTTCAGAGAAACCTTTCAGCTCACCCTTTCCTGGAGGGAGTAACAAACCTCCTGATGCCTGAATCCACCAGCCTCTGCCAGAGTTCCTGGCTGTTCCAGCCGGGAAGAGGCCTCAGACTCCTGATATCAAGATTCTGACCTCATGGCCTACCGGCTTCTGAGCAGCTGCTTCAGTTCGAAGTGCAAGTGAGTCACCCAGTCTGGAGAATCAGCCTCAGGACAGCTGCCCAGCCTGCAGAGCACGCAGTGCAGCCAGCAAGAAACATGAGTTTCAGGGAAAGCACATCAAAACTGAAGAATTTCTGAGACAGTCTTACATTTTATACTGCTTGTATTTTCCTGTGTAAGAGAGGCATTTTAGAAGATCCACAACTTGCTTTAATTAGTTAGTATTGCAGGTCGTATATAGACCTCTCACTCCTCTGATTACATGCAACTCACTCCCTTTTTTTTTTTCCCCCCAGTGTTTCCTCACCCACAGAGACAACTCAAGTGTACTTTGGATCTAACCAAAACAGATGCTTAAAAAACTTAAATACAGTTTTGGAAAAACACAGATAGGGCTATCTACATGTGTCAACTGGTTTTAATTATTGGGTATAGCCTATGTACAAAAAAACAGTGAAATTACTTCGACAGTAATACTGAAGAATTATTTTACTGTTAAGAAATTGATTTTAAAAATAAGTTATACATAGAATATTAATCTTAAATTCATTTAAAGATTTACTTTATATATTCTCAGAAAGAAAAAAGGAAAAACAATACCACATACCAATAGCATTTTTCATGCATTAGATGGAGACCAGAATCAATCTATTTTGAGGAAAAACAGCCGGTTTCTTTTGTGGTTTGTTTTTTTTTTTTTTTTTTTTAAATAAGAAGTAGTATTAAAATCCTTACAAGATACAGATCTTAACCTGACTTTGCTACCAGACTGCTAGTTAAGTATAATCAAAAGCTTACCTCTTGAAGGAAAGAAACACTCAGTTTTTATGGACCAGTGCAACTTCCCCTATTGTACATAGGTTTGCATCATCAACAAAGCAAAGAAACTAAATATATCTGGAAAGGATATTTCTAAAAACAGCAGGTATTCATCATCCAATTTCAATCAATTCATATCTGTCAACATACAGAGGGTTTCCATATGCTTCGATTTCTGGAAGCTCAGCTCAAAGGAAATCCCTTTAAATTATGCAAAACCCAAGAATACAGCCTGGCTGATGCCTGATCCCTACCTCAAGGTGAGATCTGGGTGTATTCCATCCCATCACCACCTTGGTTTCCCTAGGAAATAATAAGAGAATGTAATAAGAGAATGTATAATCAACAGGAGCAGTCTTCACACTTGCTAGCAAGTCGGCAGGTATACAGGTGCAGCTTTGCAAAGTGGAGACTTTCAGCCATCTTGCCTACAGCCTCAGGAAGCTCAGTCAGGTAGTATTAACCACACAGCTTTGAGAAAGGTGACAAATCCTCCAACTTCTAGGCAGTTTGAAAGCAATCAAACAGATGCAGCATTGGCCAGATAAGACTGTTGAAAAGCTAATTAAAGAAATCGCCCCTCTCTGAAATTTCTTGCTAGGGTGATGAGCATCCTTTTAGTACTATTATAGTCTACTAAGGTCTACCAAACCCCCCCAGGTATTGGCTTGTGCAAAACAATCTTTCTGGGGTTCATTTTAGCGCTTCCATGACAATTTCACATATCCACTGAGCAAGCCAAAAGATTGAGGTTTCTCAGAAGAGCAGAAACAACTGCTTTACTTGCCCCCAACATTCATTCTATCCTACTTTTGCTAGACAACTTTGAGTATGAGATGCTGAGTGGTATTGCAAAGAAAATTCATGGACATCAGCGGCCGCTTTATGAAACAAGACCAACATGGAATTTTCTTCATCTGGACCTTCATTTTAGAGCATAATACTTGCCTAATTTCACACTCAAGTATTTAATGTCTACTTCTGGAAATAACCTGCTAGCTTTAGCCATGAATGTCTAAAGAATCTAATTTAAGTGCTTCTCTTTTTATATCCACTAAAGTTGAATCAACAAGATTGCAGAGAGATGTCTGAGATCAGAGGAACTGCAGAGCTGAATTTAGCCAATGGTATTTTTATGTTAAGGAAAAGCACAGAATGGAGAAAAACTGTATTCATAGGTCTTTTGGACTATGTGAAGGACAAACTCCTTAGGCTGGAAAATAGTATTTCTATCTATATCTAGTAAATGTACGGAAAACATCTCAACTAATTGATCTGAAGGTCCCTTTGATAATATTGTTTTCTGAAGAGACCTTTTAGAGGCCATGTTGTTATATAGTAAAAAGAACAAAAATTGAAATATATTAAATGTTACACAGATGTCATACTTTCACCAGTTAACAAAATTCACTCTTGCACAGTATTTTAAACAAGAAACTATTATCCCTGCACCTACCTCTTCTCTTCAAAGGGAGCAAACAGGACTGCACTAAAAGTAATGTCTCTTATTTTACTGAGCTGACCACAACATCAGGAGTCAGCACAGTGAGATGGTGGGTATGTTTCAGCAGTGGTGATAGTAACATAAGACAAGCCGTGTTCTGAGTGGCCATGCAGATTTTTGCAAGCACAGCACAAAGGCTCTTGCTCGTTGCTGGTGAAAATGCATAGTTAATGGTGGTGACTGTGTTGAAAAAAAGTGTTTTGTACCTGAGAATTTGTTCTATCAAACAGTGTCATTGTGCTCTTTGTATGTGTTGTAGTTTCCAAGGAAACAACTAGGAGGCATTGCTTTCCTGAATTTAACTAGCTAAACGTGGGTCATAAAGTAGGTGGCACCAAAGTCTTCTCAAATGTGAACAGCAGAAGGACAAGAGACAAGGACAAGGTCATAAGTTGTGATGATGCTGGAAATTCTGATCAGTGAGAGTGATTCAGCACTGAAAATGTGTCCAGAAAGGCTGTGAACTCTCCATTCTTGGACATTTTCAAAACACAACCTCATAAGCGCTGATCAATCTGATCCAACTTGGAAGCGAGATCAGCTTTGAGCCAAGGCTTGGACTAGTGACTAGCAGAGGGCCCTGCTAGCCTAAATTTTCTGTAAGTCTGTGAGAAAGGCCCCTTCACTGGATGATTCATCTCATCTTAAAATAGTTCTCTAAAATAGATTAGATGAATCACCATCTGGTGGTGCCTGTGTTTCACTGAATCTCACTGAATATATTCTCCACTGAATACAAAGGCAACCTAAGCTGACCAGCTACAATGTCTTAAAGTGATATGCCTGTAAACTATAAGAGATAAGACTCATCATTAGTGAGCTGTGCCCTAAAAAGATAGAATTCTTACCGTATTTATATTTAACCATTTGAGGGTGGGAACTGCTATCTGAATAGTCAGCTCCTTGATTTCAGGAGAAAGTGGATGAGACTTTCATATAACACCTAAAAATTAACAGTGAGAATAACATAATGTGGCCCACGCAGTTAAATGTCATTACTGCAACAAGACATAACACAGTGACAAGAGTTTTGTGATCAGGAATACAGACTATAATATGTAGTAGCTTTGTCTTTAAAGACAGCTGAGTACTTAGAAGCTGATAGCACAGTTTTCCTTAGTGAGAGAATATTTCTAATTTGACAGCTTTACATATTAAGGTCATAGTGGATAAAAGAAAAATGAGTTTAATGTTTAGGTCTAGAAAAATACATTTCTTATTTTATGAACTGCAAATGATTTAAGAACTCTGGAGCTATTTAAAATTCTCTTTGAAAAAAAATCTGACATGAACTTGTAAAAACACAGTTGAAGTTCTTTATTATTATTATTTTTTGTCCTTAGAAACAGTTTTTAGGTGGAACACATCTAACCTCCTTCGAATTTGGAGGGAAAGTTATATAAATAAGAAAGAAAAATCAAGTCGTCTTCCAGCTCTTCACATTACCAGAACAATTCTATTGTCTTTTACCTGAAAGGGTGAAATTTCATGGAAATTATTACACTAATTAGAAGAGTCAAATTAAGTTTGTTGCTATTTTTCCTTTTCTTATCAGCTTTTTCAAATCATGCACTGCAACAAGATTGTATTAGAGCCCTGGACACCACCTGCATGAATTTAATCACAAAACATAAAATAGAAGTATTAATAAATGCTGCCTAAGTGTTTTGTTACAGAGGATGGGGAAAGGTTTGAGAGTACATAGTGGGATATATGCAATGATTGAGAACCAAAGTTGATATTTATTAATGTTGACTTGCAATTTCTTCAGTTTTCTTTCAACATTTTTTTGCATTTTTGACAAATATACTTGAAAAATGCCTCTGCTTTTACACACAGCAGTTTGAAAAGACAGAGCTTCCAAACAACTTTTTTAAAAAGTACTTACAAGTTGAAAATATAACCTTGACACTCAGCTCCTAACAGCAAGTGCGGAAACCCAGCCCTGCTGCTTCTCATGGATGCCTACCTGTGCGACCTACTGTAGGGAACCTGCTTTGGCAGGGGGGTTGGACTCGATCTCTGGAGGTCCTTTCCAACCCCTACAATTCTGTGATTCTGTGATTCATGGTTAAGTGGCCTCAGCAACCTACATCTTTCACTCAGACTTTCCCAGATGCCTCCAGTCTACAGCCACATTGACAGTGCTATCCAAATAAATTGTAGCCAGTTGAGAAACTCCTTCACACCTTCATGAAGGAGCTCCATTAGCAGAAAAGGAGATGGGCAGAACCTTCCTGTTAGC